AATTTTCCCAGGGAAATTCTGGATTAGTGAAGGTATTAAGTCGGGCTCTACCCTTATCGGAAAGATCTCCGTCTTTTCTATGTTAATTTTTAGCCCTGAGCATTCTTCGAAGAACTTTAGTATTTTTTTGAAAATTCTTTAACTCTGTAACGTTCGGGTTTGCAAATATGGCTGCATCGTCCGCATACAAAGAGCATCGCAAGTTTGCGGCCTTGGGCAAAACCGGGTGTAGAATACCCTGCTGAGCTGCATGTTCGATCATACGTTGTAACGGGTCTATGGCGATGATGAACAATAAAGGTGACAATGGATCGCCCTGCCTGAGACCTCTCGCGTGAGGAATATTTTGAGTCGGTCTACCATTAATGAGAATTTTGGATGATGAAGTGCCGAGAATTGCTGATATCCGGTTGTGCTACTTCCTGCTAAAACCGAGTGCTTTAAGCACCTCAAGGAGATAGGGCCATTCTATTGAGTCGAAAGCTTTTGAAATGTCTAATTCGATAAACAAAGCTGGCTTCTTGTTCTTGTGTAGGAGCTGGATGACCCTTTGTACATAAATGAAATTATAGTGAATACACCTTTTCCTGATGAAAGGATTTTGGGCATGCGACACCAACTCATTCAAGTGTGGCGCCAATTTGTTCGCCAGCATCTTAGTGATTATTTTAACCATGCTGTTGATGAGACTTATTGGTCTATATTCATTTAAAGTCCTTGTATTTTATTTTTTCGACAGCAATACAATATTGGCCTCGTTGAACAAACTCATCTTAGCATTTCTGTGGTTATAGAAACCAAGTATTGCTGCGTAAAGATCGTCTTTGATTATTTCCCAGCATTTTTTATAGAAAACTGCAATGAAGCCGTCCGGGCCCGAAGCTTTTTCCGGCGGTAATTCCCTGATTGTGTTGAGCAATTCCTCTTCTGTGAATGGCGTGTCTAAATCATCGAGGTTGTGCGGGGAATAGCCTAGCTGCTCCCAATTGATAGCCCGACCTCTCGGCATTTTACTACCAACAGCATTGGAAAAGAACTCTAGTGCAGCTTTAGATTTGTCTTGCTGAGTGACAGTGAGCCCCTCGTCACTTTGGATTGTGCTAATATAATTTTTCTTACGAAGAAGTTGTTATTAATTTGTCATGCATGACAACTGCAGTACATTTGTTTTGTTGCTTCCACTAATACACAGTATACGAGTAGTGTACTCTAAGTAAGCAAATGATATTTTGATATAAAAAAAAAGTAAGCAATGATATAGGCGGCGTGAAGCACACATTTGGATTGACCAAGCAATTGGTTTTGGACCGACTGGAGCTGACCAACTGAGCTGCTGCTACGTGACAGCCAACCTTGTTGATTCCATCGGCAGCCCGTGACCTGGTTGTGACTCGTGAGCCAATGAAAGAACAAACTGTGAGAGTTCCCTTTCAGAGTTCCTCCTCGAATGAGGGCAAAGAGTTGACGTGAACTTGAGTTTCCTTTCCTTTTCGTGGCAGTTATCGGTTCAGCACGTGTATACTAGCTATATAAAGATTTAGAGCAATTCCAAGAATCTCCCTCAACTTGAATTTTTATATCTTTATTTAGAGAGTCATTTTATGAATATACTCTTTATATACATATATCTCTTCCAGAGTCTCTATACTCCAATAATTTATCTTATTTTTTCTTGTGTGGAAAATTCATGAGAGAACTAAAGGCGTATTTGGATCACCGGACTAAAGTTTAGTCCGTCATGAGATAATAGGCTAAACATGGACTAATAAAAAATTCTAATGAGTTCTAGCCATCAATTGACCTCTATTAGTTCTTATTCGTACATAATTAGATTATATCTACTCCTTCTATTTAGCATCCAAAACCGGAACTAAAGTTTAGTTTAGATGATCCAAACATCCCAGCGCTAGCCCCTAACATATATTGAATTCAAAGAGCTATGTAGCCTATTGATTAACAGAGAGCAAGAAGGGCGGTTTTAAAGAACGGAAAAGGGATAAGTAGTGGCTTAGAGAATCTATTGGGGCCTAATTTTTTGTTTTACTTTCTAAATTTGGTGATAAAGTGTCTTGTCTCTTGGAGATGCTCTCATGTGCCACCACCACCAAGACCTTGCGGTGGTTTGTTGTCATCAATTCCCACTGGTATGTTGTGTTCATAGGTCAAGTATATATCAGTATAGGACATTTTTAAAAAAATAAGCTACCATGTATACTCCGTTATTTGTGTGAGTACACGTTGCAAAAAGATAATTTACATGTTTTGACCCCGATGCAGTTAGGGGATTCTAACTAACATGTGGTAAAACTAGTATGTTGTATCAATTCCTGAAAGAATGTTTGTTTCGTTTCTGCAGGCTGTATGGGCCTTGATCGGCGGCTGGTGGTAGTGGGCAACCAGCTCAATGATGAAGGGCCCTGCTTTAGTTGCCACTTATTAGAAATGCATACAGAGGCCCGCTTGGTTTAGTGAGTGTGCATGAGTGCGTTGCACTGTGTTATTCGTGAAAAAATAGTAATGTATATATGGATTTCATCTCGTTGGTTTGTTAGAAATATGTTGTACTAATGGGGTGTTACAGTGGACTGTGTTGTAATTAGCAGTATAGGGTTAGAAGGGATAGATGTTGGCTCTTATAACCTGGCCCCTCTATAAAAGGATGAGGGGGCTGCACTTGTAACCCACTCCAGTCATGAGAGTGAGAAGCAACACAGAGCGACAGACTCACGGGCGGTGCTGGCGGCTTTGGCCAGCGCCCCAGGCGGCCGGTGTCATGGTTTTGGGGAGATATGCCGGTAAGCATGCTTCGGGGACATAGGCTTCGGCCGAACCTCGTTACCAAATATCGAATCTCTTGTGCGGTGTGTGCGATCTCTCGTGAGAGTAGATACTATGAGACCTTACACAGTGTGCAAACAGGCTTCGGCCCTGCTTTAGTTGCCGGTGTATGTATTCATTCTTTTATGTTGAAGGGAAACTGATCAGAGATTACATTCGTGGCTTTTACATGTATTATACTTAACTGAGACCTTACAGAGTGTGCAAACAGGTAGAGCTCCAGTAAGTATGTAGGTCTATATGAAGTAATAGGGTAAAATACAACTAATCTAGTATGAATAAGGGGGTGTTTGGTTTAGCTAGGAGCTCATAAATCTAGTCTTATTTAGTCATTTTTTACCAAAACACTGACTAAATGGGACTAAAAGGGCTTTAGTTTTCTTTAGCAACTCTGGAGTGACTAAACGAGACTAAACCATTTAGGAGGGACTAAATTTAGCGGCTGCCATCCAAACAGGGCCATGAAATAAGATTTTGCAGCGAGGCCCTGGTCCATCTCGTTTGTGCCGACGGTGATCAAATTGTTGCCCCAAACGCCTACTACCAGCTGAGCGGAATGTACATGCCGTGGTTGAAGCTAATCATATGTGAAAATGCATTGATGTGGAAAAAGGGGCAATCTAGAGAAGACACAAAGCATGTGAAATCCTTAAATGAGGACGCCCGACACTATGGACTTAACCTGAAATAGCAAAAGCTGCATTAGAGATTAAATAATTACAGGTAGCTGAAGCTATAGAGAATAGAGGGTGATGAGAATACTTACCCAGGTCGAGACATATACTACGAACATCATGGGCCTGAGTAAGTTGTCTTTCTGAACTGAGCAAGTAATTTTTGCATTGGTTTGGGGCCATGTAGAACTGCCCAAAGGCATTTAGCTATCAACGAATTAGAGTTCAGTAAGAATACCAGCTAAAAGTGTATGTCGATACATTAAAGACGTAACTATATACCTATTGTATCTTCAAAGCAAAGGTTATGAAGCTGGGCACCAAAAGGCAAACGCCGTTTTTTAGATAGCATGAGCCAAATACATCAAGAGTGGATAGGGTGGGGAGGAATGGAGAGAGAGAGAGAGAGAGAGAGAGAGAGAGAGAGAGAGAGAGAGAGAGAGCACGCTCAGGTGAAAAGAGGACAGGGAGAAAGAAGAAAGGTCGGGGACTGGACAGGCGCACCGTAGCTTCTGAGTCCGAAGCTCGGCACCAAGATCCACGGTGTTGAGCTCTGACCAAGTCCTCCCGCCACGACACCTAGATCTCGAGATCGGCACGATGGCCTATGACAGTGAGACGTCTTACCTTAGCGCCATAACCTTTGAAGCCAATTCCTGGGGTCTAAATTCGAAAATAGATCTCTAGAGATATAGATGTAAATATTTTTCAAAAAAGGGTTACAAAACAAAAAAGTAGATCTTACCAGATAATTGATCCTTACCTAGAGGTCTAAAATTGAACACCGGATGATGTTGCCTGGCCCAGATAACACCAACTGCGCGGACCAGCACGCAACACATGGAGTAGGCGCATGCAGTATGTAACGTGCTGAAATGCACCCAGAGACGAGTGAACTTGGCACACGGTTCAACCGTGGCTGTTTCCCTAATTTCCTCCCCAACTGTGGATGTGAAGCAAGAATTCTACTGTGATTGTTTGCATGCAGTTTGGCTTTCCCTGAAGAAAAAGAAACCGAGACCAGCATGGTCCAAGCTGGTGAGGCACTCTGCAGGCACGGTCATTCCGATCCGGCGGCGATCGCAGTAGTGTGGTTTTGGTGCATAGCAATACGGAGTATGCCCGTTGGTTTCGTTGTTATCCGTGGCAAATAAAAACAGATAGGGACACAGTAATAACAGTATATCTCCTCGATCTGGTCGCCACCAATTCCGGCTCCAACCTTATTTCACACGTGCTCATTTGCCTTTCTGTGTGTCATCACGTCGGTCGGGCTCAAATTAAGCATCCTCCTCCTCATCTCATCTGATTATATATTGCTCGTCTCATTTTTTGCGTCTCTCTGCTGTAGTGCTGTGTGTGTGTTTGCCCATGCATATCGAACCATCTCTATACATCTCCAACAACCGTACCGCCTTGGCGTGTACCGCCGGCTAGTCGTCGTGCGTGGGATCCGATCCTCGCCGTCGGCCGCTGCTCACGACCAAGATGGCCAGCTCCTCCGGCGACCTCACCAACGGCGGCGGCGGCGGCGGCGGATATATGGTACACAGCGGCAGCGGCGCCACCGCCAGCGCCCCGACGACGACGACGAAGACGAAGCCTCTGACCATGTTCTACAACGGCGGCGTCGCCGTGTTCCATCTCCCGCAAGACAAGGTTTCGCCTCGTTTAGTCGTTTTCGATCTCATGCCTTGTCGTCGTGCCTATGCACGTGTGTATATGCTGATAATAATATGCATGCGGCCATGACGACAGGCGGAGGTTGTCATGAACATGGCGGCTGGTGAGGACGGCAGAGACGACGACGGCGGCCGCCAGCGGCGGCCAAACCACGGCGACGAGTTGCTCGCCAAGTTCAGGCAAGGTATAGTACTACTAGGCCATTAATCAACTCTGTTAAGATGTCTACAGATTTTTTTTTTGTAACCAAATAAATCTGTCACTCTTAACCATCCTGTATTGGGTTATCGTGGAATATATAATCCATCTTTGCTATGTTTACATTTATCTGAAAAACTGAAACAAAAAGAGTAAATGATCTTTATAGTAACTGCTATAAACAACTAAAGTTACATCATTTTTTGACAAAAAAAAAAGATTTTTGGACAGATTAAGAATATCCTCATCTCCTTTTTTTTTCTGGAGGATATCTTCTTGATTTGACAATTATCCTTTGCATGCATCCGTGATTAGCTTCCGCATTAAAAGACAACGTCCCATTTTTTTGTAGAAGGTTGTTTTTTCTAGGATATGTAAACCTCAGAAAATTATTTATTTTGTGACCGAGGCCGAAGCTGAGTATATAAGGAGTGTTTGGTTCACCTCCTAAACTTTAGTCGTTGTCCCATCGGATGTTTGTATACATACATGGAGTATTAAATATAGATTATTTATGAAATTAAATGCACAGATTGAAACTGTTTTGTGAGACGAATTTTTTAAGCCTAATTAGTTCATGATTTGATAATATGGTGCTACAGTAAACATGTGCTACTGACAGATTAATTAGGCTTAGTAAATTCGTCTCGCGGATTACTGATGGGTTTTGTAATTTATTTTTTATTAGTATCCGAACACCTCATGCAACACCCTCTGACACCGTCTAAACTTTAGTCCCTCAATCTAAACACCCCCTCGTACACTGCATTTCTACCTATGTCATACATATGCATGCTTTGTTGTGTTGCGCACGCAGAGACGATGCCCACGGCAAGCAAGAGATCTTTGCAGCGCTTCTTCCAGAAGCGCAAGGAGAGGTACGCACGCATGCACCACATTTATGGCAACTGTAGTATATTTGTTTTGTTGCTTCTAGTAGTGCAATTCTATAAAATAAAATTAGCTAAATTAAGAAAATGTAACTCGGAACAATTAATTCTAAAAGTTGACAAAGAACTAGTATTTTTTTAACCTAAAAAAAGAACTAGTATTTTTTTCAAGGAAACAAACGACAAGTTGTTACCAATTTTTCATGTGTGTGACAACTGCAGTACATATGTTTTCTTGCTTCTAGTAGCAATACCGGTAGAATACTAGAGTGCTACATACAGGCGGCGTGAAGCACGTTTGGATTGACCAAAACGATTGGTTTTCGACCGAACCGGAGCTGACGAGCTGAGCTGCTACGTGACAGCCAGCCTTGTTTATCCCATCGGCGCCCCCGTGACCCGGTCGTGACTCGTGAGCCAATGCAACAACAAACTGTGGATCGATGTGTATGCTTGCCTGTCGTCAAACTGCGGCACGGCTCCGTTTCAGTTCCTCCTCGCATGAGGGCGAGAGTTCGTTGTGTTTGACGTGGACTCTTGACATTTCTTTTTTTCTTTTCGTTGCAGTTATCGATCGGTTCTGCATGTATATAGATAGACTTTGAGCAACTTCATGAATATTCTCTTTATACTCTTTCTAGATAAATCAATTTCTATAGTGGTCTTAGGTCAAACTTTTTTCAAGTTTGAACATTATTATAGAAAAAAACATCAAGATTTATGAAATTAAATTAGTATAATTAGATACACCATAAAATATATTTTTTATAATTTTCCCATTTGGTGTCATAATTATTTATGTGTTTTTCTATAAATCTGGTCAAACAAAAAAAATTGAATTAAGACAATTATAAGAATTGATTTATTTAGTGACGGAGGGACTATACTCCAACGACTTATCATATTTTTCCTTGTGTGAAAAAATTTCATGAAAGAACTAACGTATATTGAATTTAAAGTGTGATGCCCTCTTTATTAATAGTGAGCGAGAATGGTAGTTTTGAAGAGTGGAAAGATAGGAAATGGTTTCGAGAATCTATTTTGAGCCTCATTTTTTATTTGTTTTCTAGATTTTATGATAAATTGTCATGAGTTTTTTTTGGTGATGCTCTTATCACTCGGACACTCGCCGAAGAACGTTAGACGAACCAACCAGTTTTTAATTCTCTAACTCAGCCTAGGTGGCGGTCGTATTTTCAGCTACTTGTTCTTTTTTTTTTCTATAGAGATCATGTGCAATCACCAACAAAACGTTGCGGTGGTTTGTCTTCATCAATGTCCGCTGTACTGCTGGTATGGTACATTGTATTAATAGGTCAAGTGTCGGTACATGAAGTGTCTAAGCTAAAGATATATACGCTGATCGGTTGTTTGTGCGAGAAATATAAGTTACATGTTGAAAAAGATAATTTATATGTTTTGACCAGAATGCAGTTATGGGATTAATTATAACGAACATGTGTGTAAAACTAGTATACTAACAATCTCCATTCCTTGTTTTTTGATCAAACAATCTCCATTCCTGAAAGAATGCGATTCTAGTTGTGTCGCTCTCAAGTTCATGGAGCATGTTGTTTCGTTTCTGCAGGCTGTATGGGCCTTGATCATCGCGGCTGATGGTAGTGGGCAACCAACTCATGATGAAGACGAGGAAGGGCCCATTTTGTTTCGTTACCATTCCACTTAGAAATGTATATGGAGGCCCGCTTGCTTCAGTTACCAGTTATAGTAATGTACAGTAGTACATGTGGATTCCGTTTTGTTCCCCTAAAAAAAATTATGGATTCCGTTTTGTTGATCTTATTCCCTCCATCCACGACTTTTGCCGTTTAAAGTGTATCCACAAATATTAAGATGAATATTCACCATTAGACATGCTGCTAGTGGACGTAGGCTGTCCAAAACAAGCCACACCTAAACTACGGCTTGCCTAAGCTGTGGCGAATTGTGAAAATTTTGCATTTTGGCCCTTTCTAAAAACTATTTTTATAAATAGACTCCTTTAGAATTTTTTTTAAATAGACCAAAAGCTCGGCATTAAATATAAAAATGCCTAGATCTTTGTGTCAGTGTCAGAATGCTGAGCTTTTGGTTTATTTTTAAAATATTAACGCTGAGCTTTTGGTCTATTTTTTTGAAAAAAGTTTCTAAATGAGTCTATTTATAGAAATAGTTTTTAGAAAGGGCTAAAATGCAAAATTTTCACCGGTGAATTGTGGCGCTTAAATTATGCGCCAAACATTTGGCGAGCTACGGCCGCCACGAACACTTTGACAGAGCTTAGTTAGCAAGCAAACGTGAGCCTGAGTAAGCCGCCGTAGTTTAGGTGTGGCGACTTGTGGCAAGCCGTGTACACCAACCAAATAGAGCCTTAAGTTTGTCTTGTGTTTATGCCAAGGACCATGCGCCTAGTGTTGTCTCTTTAGCAGCGTGTTTGGCACGGCTCCACATACGCTACTTCATTGGGACTTGTTTGGCCGGGCTCCCGACAGCTCCGGCTCCGACCGACACCCCTACAATGAACACTGTAGCATCGGAGCTGTTTCTCTCTCCACCTTTTCCCCTCTCACTGTATCGCGGCTACTGTTCACAGAGCCCATGAAGCTCGAATTTCTAGCTCCGGTTCTGACACGCTACAGTGCATGAACAGTGTAGGAGCCGAAGCATGTCGAACAGGTAAACCCTGCCCACTGGCCTTCCATGTTCGGCATTCCCTCATCCCGCTGGCGCCAGCACCGCTGCTGCTCTTGAACAAGATTAATTACAAGAGTGGCGACACGAGCATGATGCCTCTGACTGCGCCTGCCACGAGCGAGACACGGAGCTGGTTGTTGCTTTCGTTCGTGCCCACATGGACCACGACACGGACGTTGTTTTCTGCTCTTGCGCAGGTCGAGGCCACTGAGCACCTTGGGCAACTAGGCCTCGTTTGGTTTCTACGTGCGATTCTAAAATTCTTGTCACATCGAATATTTAGATACATGCATAGAGTATTAAATATAAACTAATTATGAGACTAATTATACAACTTGTGATTAATTTACAAGACGAATTTTTTAAGCCTAATTAGTCCATGATTTGACAACGTGATGCTACCGTAAACATGTACTAATGATAGATTAATTAGGCTTAAAAAATCATCTCGCAAATTAGCCTCCATCTATGTAATTGATTTTATAATTAATCTATATTTAATACTCTTTATTACTCCCTCCATCCCAAATTATAAGACGTTTGATTTTTTTGCCCCAAGTTTGACCACTCGTCTTATTCAAAAATTTGTGTAAATATAATTAAATTTAAGTCATTTTTGAAGAATTTTTATTAATAAACCAAACCACGATGAAAGAAGTGATATTTTATACAAATTTTTGAATAAGACGAGTGGTTAAACTTGGTGTAAAAAAATCAAATGTCTTATAATTTAGGATAGATTGAGTAGTATCTAAATATTCGATGTGAGATGAATTTTTGGAGCAACCAGATAACCAAACACCCGCCGTCCGTTGGCGTGACCTTTTTCTCCTCACTCTTGAACACTACTGCTCTCGAACCACATCCTCATTAATGACCCTGATCACATGTTCCCTGATTGGAGAAAAGACTCTCCTGAATCTTTGGGATCATCTCCGTCAGCCTCGAGGAGACCGTCATGAAGAGCCACACCACGTTCCTTGTTTGGAGAAACGTTTTTTCCCCCTTGATGTCAACTTCCACAACTTTGTAAAAGAAGAATTTATATGTCTAGTTAAAATCAAACTGTTCAACTTTAAGCAAATTTGTAGAAAAATATATCCATATTTATGATAATAAGTTGGCAACATTTTCAATTCATCATGTAATATAATTTCTAATATATCTATTTATTATCTAAAAAAATACATCTATGTTTTAATAATTATTGATACTTTTCTCAATAAACTCAGTCAGATTTACGATAATTTTACTTCGAAAAAATGTTGAAGTTACGTGAGGCTGTACGTGCCTGCCGGACATAGACACAACAACAAACACGACATGGTGCATGCGCTGTGTAAGGTATGTGCCTATATGGTCTTTGCTTGTATCTAGTTGAGCTAAGCTCATTTTTTGAATTTCCGATCTGATAGATTTCGGTAGGCTTAACAACTTAATTTTATCATAGTACTCCCTCCATTCCAAATTATAAGACGTTTTGACTTTTCTAGATTTATAACTTTTGCTACGCACCTAAATATATGTTATGTCTAGATAGTAATAAAAGCTATGAATTTAGAAATGTCAAAACGTCTTATAATTTAGAATGGAGGAAATATTATTTCTGTGAATTAATCCATGATGTCTCTGCTTAATTACTTAGCGTTCAATGCAACACACAGAAGAAGACAAAAATAATGTGAAGGAAGATGTATTTGCACAACAGCACAGTGCATGTGTGTGACGTGACAGTCAGTGGTATCTACCATTATCAAGAATACACTGCGCGTTGCTGCCGAACTACTGATTTGAAATAAAATTTAAGATTAACTATTATAAATTAATGTTAGTGAATAGCATGACACGCTGATGTGGACAACTAAATATATGTTAGTGAATGATGTGTTCCGCTGACGTGGATATCATAATTGCTTATGCTAGTGAACTTTAATTGTAGGCCCTGTTCGGTATGACTTATTGCTGTTGCGGCTGATTTATAGGGCTGATTTATTGTGAGAGAAAAATATTGTTTCCATGGTTGAAAAGTACGACTGATTCTTGCTGATAAGCTCAAGCGAACAGGGCCGTAAATGATAGTGGACTGCTGAGGTGGACACCTTATATGTAAGTGCTAGTGGACTGCTGAGGTGAACAACTTGCATATGAAGAAAAATTGGTAGTGGTGTTTTACTTTATAAGAGTATATGTTTCCTATGCTACATTTTCTGTTCGTTGGAGAGGCCACGTCGCCTGCTTTTCCTGTCGGGTCTGATTCGCAATCAACGCCCAGCACAACATCAGCTGCAGCGACCCTTCCAGCAGGTTCGTGCATCATCTAGCCCAGCCCCCAAGCTGGCACGAAGAGAGAGTAAAAATGGGCCGCGCCGTCCGCATCGTTGCTGGTTCGTGAAGAAGTACTGCTGACTGGTTTATGTGAGAGAAAAATACTGTTCCGACTAAAAATTTACGATAATTTACGACAAACCACAGCTAAACGAACATGCTGATGGTTTAAAATAGCATGCTATTGAAAATAGTGGCAACTTGTTTTTCAGCAGCTATGAATCTATAGTGACGCTATAGCTATGGAACGCCTGCCTTTTCTATGATCACTTGATCAGTAAAATGCTTTTTCTATGATCAATAAAATGCTTTTTTGTACAATCAGTAAATCCATCACTCTATACCTGCTGAAACTATGCATGTGTATGACCAAACTCAACTCTGACGGATGTAACAATCAAACACATAACGTTGCCTACACGGAAAATTTTAGTGACACATCAACAAATAGCCACCGGATCCAGGCAGCGTACATGCATTTTTTTACTGTCCCTTTTTTTTTTGGTTTCTAGCTGTGTCCTCAATCCTTTCCAGGCAGTGGCGGAACTAGCCGCCCCCCACCCCCCACACACACACTGATAAATATTTCAACTACACAGCCTAAAAAATAAATATTTCACCTATTTTTAATGATAACCTTGTGTATTTTTTTGCTATAAATACTAAATACATATACAAAAGTATTGAAAAGGCTATTGAAACATACACGTTGTATATATTTATTATATTTATGAGGTTTCGTTGGCCCCCTTAATTAAAAGTCCTGGTTCCGCCTCTATTTCTAGGCTATTGGTTTGTACAGTTGTTACGGAATGCAAGTAGCACCAGATAGTGACCCATGTCTATTCCACAGGTACTTGCGCCTGTCACCACTCTCAAAGTTTTGAAGTCATATGTGTTCTTGATATTTACTCACAGCTAACGATATACTAACAATACACACCCAGACGCTCTAATTGAATATCCACACATACTGGTCACACGGGCTAAAATATACTATGCACTGCACAACTATGCAAAATGTCTTTCACATACTTACTTTTCATTTTCATTCTACACAGCACTGCCTGTCAGTTGAAAAAAGACCTCCACATCTCCACTCAGAGATTAGGTCTACTACCAAAATGGTTTTGCCCAGGTTCCAGTAAGGTTCAACCTTGAAATCCCCAGGTCTATTTTTTCGGTACACAACACAATAATTTCATTTTTTATGATATTTAGGTTAGCACATATTTATATAGTTACCTCTTCAAAACCACACTCCAAACAAATGACCTCCACTTCTCGATCCCAAATCAGCTTACCTCACCTACAGATTTGTTTCTGCTGTTGTTTTATTTGTTCTCCTGCTTCCTCCGATTCCTCAAGAACATCTATTCCATCATTTGTTCTCTTTCTTGCTACAGTCTGTTCTTCATGCAGGTGTTCGGCGACCTCACAGACCATCGAAACTCACGTTGTTATGTCGTGGGCCTTGCAGAGACCCTCTGTTATGTAGCACCAGGTCCTTCATGCTTGCTGTATCTATCTATGATGATAACTTTTACAGTTACCTAAAACTGTAGGTCCTACCGAATTAAGCATGACACCAATCCACAATGAGGTTGCCTTAGATGATACTGCACTTGGTGGCTCATGATTTTGCTGTGGCCTCACTGCTGATACATGTTTCTTACCATGCCTTTTCAGTTTTCACTATGTTCTGTGATACCATTTTTTTTTGTAAGTTACAAATTCAGAAACAATGACTTCATTCCAGCTTCATGATATATGCGGCTGCACATTTATGTACCTACAATTGTACAAAGTTGCCACTTGATACTTTCAGCCTTCCTCTAAAATTACAATATTGTCATACTGCTATCAGTTCTTTTTAGAACCTATTTGAGGTATACCTTTTCTTCTTTACCTACTTATTGTACGTAGTTAACCTAACTTCATAAATGTTTTTATAATACACCGCAAACAGCAACTAGGTAAAACAAATCATGTACTGTGCCAATCACTACCTTTGCTTGATCCGCGGCAACGCGCGGGATATTAGCTAGGTACATTGTTTAGGCCACGCAGCGACATCCCACTGACCATGAGTAACTGCGCGTGTCGCTGTAGTCACGCTAGGTACCTTTGTTTGTATGCTCATTTTTGGCGCAACAAAATATGAAAAAAAATACTATGTTCACTTTATTTGTGTTAAGACTATCTCCAACAACAACACCCAAAATACAAGACCTATTTGGCCTTTGGGTAGCGATACAGTCAAAGGGTTCAATACATATTCGGCATATTCTCCAACAGCAGGACCCAAAAGAGAATCCTTTCTGTAAATGGATTTTTAGGAGAGAGTATGCTCATATTTAGGTTGTATCTATCAGGCAACTCAAAATAGGTTTCCCATATAGTTAGTCTGTTGGTGGCTGATTTTGAGTCTCTGTTACCCATTTTGGGTTTGGGTGCCCATATGAGTCTCTTTCTAGAGACAGTCTAAGCTAAACTTTAAAAGTTGAAAATTAATGCAATATTATGATATGTTTCAATGATAATTTAATACATTCATTTGATGCTTTAGATGTTGACGGATCGTTTTATAAAATTTATCAAAATTAAATCATTTTTGTTTATTACAAAGCTAAATTTTCCTAAATTTAGAATGGAGGGAATATGGTGAAAAAATAGGATTATACCGTGTATTACAGTTTAGAATTGAGAAAATATGGTGGCGAAAAAATAGAATTCAAACCGCGTTCCCTTTTTCCGTTGTGGTATCGGTGGCTCACTGTCCCTTGGTGCATTATCTCTATGAAAGTTTTTTATTCTATCTATTTTAAATTATAAGTTGTTTTGACCTTTTAGATATTCAGTTTTTGTTATGTATCTTAGGAATGATGTGTATCTAAGTATATAGAAAAAACTATCTACTAAAAAGATTTTATAATTTAGAATGGAGCAAATGCATGGTTTAAAACTTAAATTATGTGGTTAGTGGAGAAATTGAGAGGAGAACCAAGCACATATACTAGTGATTTCTTGTGTGAAACTCCATATCAATATGGTATAAAGGTTTCATTTTTCGTTCCACCGTAGTAACCTTTTTTCAAAACATGTCCACATTTTGTACTGCCAAAATTTAGCATCTGGCGTGAGCACACAGCGACACGCCAACGCACGGGGAGTCCGCACGCGCACCAAACCTCCTCCCATGCCCGAAAGTCCGATCCCCTCCCCTTCCGCTCCGCTTCCCAGTTCCCCCACTCCCCAACTCCACCGCGCTCCAGTCTCCTCCGCGTCTCGCCGCTTACCCCTCCGCCCGGGCGCCGCGGCCCCTCCCGATCCCGTGGACGTCCTCGCGTCGCAGGCGGCGGGCTGCACGACAGGTGAGCTCCTCCCACGCGCCCCCTCTCTCTAGCCCCTGTCTCTGTCAGTCGGTGCCCAGTTCCTCGACCAGCCGCAGTCTGTCGGCGCTGCTCGCCTTCCCTTTGCCCTCGCTCCCGTAGTCCCTTCCCAGCGCGCTTCTAGGACCGCGTATCGTCGCGATTGCCTCGCGGTGAGAGTGGGAGTGTGGGACCATTCTCGGCGCTTATCAGCGCAAGATGCAGCTGTGCTCGCAGATGCCAGTGCTCTCAGCAAGTGCTTCGCGCCACTCATAGCAGGCTAGCACCTTTTAGTTCCCTTGAGAAGCTGTAAGGATCTAGCGGCCTCATCTTGAGCACATGTATTTTCGGTCCAGTGGCTTCATTCCTGGCTCGCCCAAAAGAAAGAGAATGTGTACTCTATACAAAAATTAAGTGTGGCATTTTGGGCTACAGCTGTGCCTCCTAGTCTCTCTATCTTTCTTTCAGTTAGTATTCATGCACCAACCTGCCACGGGTAGTAGAATGCACTCATGAATTGATGCAGTAGTTGAATTTTGGGCGCATAGCACGAAATCCGTAATGCAGTTATGAGCTCTGCACGATTACAACTTACAGACCCATGGTATTGTCCCTGTAACTAGGAAACTGAATAAAAGAAGTCTGTATGGTAATTTTGTCTCCTGATTGGTTTTGTAGGTAAGTTTTTTGTCCCCTTCTCAACGCAGTAATCAAAAGGTGATTCCTTTGTGTTCGTTGACTGCAGCTTAGGGAATGTTTTACCTGTATTGTTCATGGTAAACTCAGAGTTTCCATCTACTGCCTGGAAACGTGAACTTGTTTCAGTTCCATCTTTAGTGTCAACCAATTTCTTGTACAGAGGGACAACAGCACTATTCCGAAGGTATTTCCTGAAAACCTTATTTCATTGTCATTTGGATAGTCGCCATTATGATCACATCTTAGATGTGGAAGCTACAGAACTTGTTCTATGTGATTGTTTAGTTGTATTCTGATACTTTGCATTTGTACCTTTTCCAGTGAATTATGGGTGGGTTCAGCTGCTGCCTCAGTACTGAAGATTTTGAGGAATATGTCTATCCAAACAACCCTATCTATAGGCAATGCATATCCTTGAGGCATTTTTTCCACAACATTTTTGGCGGGGTAATATGAACTTTTATCCATATTTTCAAGTATACTCTAGGATCTAACCAACTGATCCAAAATGTCACATGTTACATTGATTGATATGTGGATTTTGATACTTCTGACTCCATGCAACTGCTGCCAGTAGCATGTTCATGTGATTTAGTTCTAACTGGTGGGGATTTAGATACTCACCGCTAGTTTTCTTTTGTTTTTTTTTCAAAATGGTACATTTTTCTGTTTTCTGTCAAGAAATATCCTTTTTGACCGCATGATGTTACAAACTGAAGAGTACTTTATTCCTCTTTTAGAGTATTAGATACAGCGCTAAAAGGAAACGGAATCATAGTGAACATTCTGTAGTACTATGAAACCCAAAACAGCAAAGCTTGTTGAGACAATGTAAACATGGATGAGCAAGGGTAGGCACATTTGACATGGCTAGGTTGACCTGCTGGTGTTCTTTTACAAGTTCTATTGTAGAGAAATTATGTTGTGCATCTTAATGGCACTTCCATAGTATTTTCTATGTCCATTTTCTTATGTAAGGTAGTATTTTCTATGTCCATTTTCATATGTAAGGTTTCTTCTAACTACAGTATTTCCTTCTATGTAGTATACTGCAACATTCCAAAGGCTTGAGTCTAGGCCAAACAACCCAGCCCAAGGGGTTGCTCCACTGGGATCCACTAATCCAAGTGTCAACATAAATGACAATTCACTCTCTGAAACTTATCACTTTGTTTCTAGACCACCTCCATATGATACTGATCCTAGATATGCCCGTGTTCAAAGAGAGGGATTAGTCTCCAGGCGTGAGAAATCCATAAATCTTGCACAAGAAGAGTCACTAGCCCTTAGACGAAATGGCAGCAGCTCTGGTATTGAGCATTTAGCTGCTCAGAAGAAACGCAGCAGCACTGAAAATGAGGGTGAATATAAGGTCCATCGTTCTGAATCAACTAAGAGTTTGTCTGCAAAAGCTTATAGTAGCAGCTATGCAGTTGTCGCTTCAGAAGATGAGGATATCTGCCCTACTTGTCTGGAAGGTTTGTGTTCAAATAGATTTACCTAAGCAAATAGCAGTTTATCTTGGTGTCTCAATATTTTTTCAACAATTCATTATTATTAATTCACTGTGTAGAATACACGCCAGACAATCCAAAAATTATAACCAAGTGCTGTCACCATTTTCATCTTGGTTGTATTTATGAATGGATGGAGAGAAGTGATACATGCCCAATTTGTGGAAAGGTATGATACTGATGGTTCTGCACTCTTCTAGTTTTCACATCTCAGGCAGAGATCATAATCACTAATCACATATCATCAGTTCTTAAGGTGTAATTTTATTTGTTGAGCTGACAATTTCTCCTCCAACCTGATTACACTGCAGGAAATGGAGTTTTGCGAGAGCCCGTGATAGCCTTTTGATTTACATGATCTCACATCGGAGCAAGGGAAAGGGTCTACAGACTATACAGTATGGGATGCTGGAGAATTGTAAATAATAGTTATTCCTTATGCGATGTCCAAATAGATCTCTTTCTCGAGATCAGTTTCTTACATGTACTGAAATGATTATCTATCTTACTAAAATTCATGCTAGAATTTGCTTGCCCATTCATTGTTATATTTGCAAATGGATGCCCATGGATTGAAGCACAGATATAACCTGATCATAGTGATTGTTTGTTGGTTGCTGTAGCCGATCTCATGATGAATCTTTTACCAAAGCGCGTAGAAGTGCTATGAGCATCCTGTTGCAAGCCATCAAGAACAGATTATCGCATAGTGCATATAAATGCAATAGCAAACCATGAGCTTAAGTTCAGTTCAAAGTGGCAACTATGAACCATCAGGCCTCATCAAATATTCACCAGCCACATATAATGTTTTGGGTAAAATAGAATTTGCATTTCCCAGATGAACATTCCATAAAACAAAGAGGACGCATACAGACTAAAATAACTTGCTCAAAATTATTTATGGGATACCCGCATAGCAGTTACAAGCTATGAACATTGGTTACACAATGACATCCAGGCAAGCCTAAAATACAAAGCCGATTCAGAAAATTGAGAGCAAAGGTACATAACATCGTAAAAATTAAGAGAGCCAGCAAGCTAGCATTTTATTTAGTAAAATCGTTCACCCGCCGGTACCCAACCATTTCAGTTCTACACACTTGCCGTCTTGAGGCTGTTGCCCTTCTCTTGCAGGCTCACAAGTAGGCTGTCAAAGCTCTTCTTAAAGGAGTCCACGCCTTCAAGCTCAAGCTGCTTTCCGACCTCGTCCCAGTCAATGCCAAGCTTCTCCAAGGCGCTGTATACACCTTCCGACTCAGACACATTAGCATCAACTGTCCTTGAAACAGTGCCATGGTCTATGAATGCATGCAAAGCTTGGTCGGGCATCGTGTTGACCTGAAAGAGAATCACTCCAGAGTTATTGTTGTGATGATAAGAAACAATGTCAATTCAAGTGGGAAACTCGTCGTGAAAACATACCGTGTCAGGTCCAATGAGACTGTCCACATAAAGAGTGTCAGGATAAGCTGGGTTCTTGACACCGGTGGATGCCCACAACAACCTCTGTTTCTTGGCACCTTTCTTGGCCAACGCCTCCCACCTTGGGCCAGAGAATTTCTTCTGGTAGAGCTGATTTGCTAGTTTGGCCTGTGCTACGGCAGCCTGTCATAATAAAGGATGGTCATATTGCATAACTTTGTGAACAGTTTAAAAGTTCTAGCATTAAGAGGCAGTTAATTATAGTTTTATTTACCTTTCCTCTCAAGGCAAGTGCCTCAGGTGTTCCAATCTTCTCGAGCATTTTGTCAATAAGGGTGTCGACTCGGCTGACAAAGAAGGATGCAACACTGGTAACTCGGGATAAGTCACTCAAACCAGAAGCCTCTAGCCCATCAAGGTAAGCATCAATCACAGCCTCATATCTCACAATAGAGAAAATAAGCTGCAGTGACAGAAACGAATTTGTGATCAATAAGCTTATCACAGCAGTTACACTATAGATTTTTACCACAATCATATGAAAGCAGGGGCAAGGCAGTGCTCAGCAATTACCGTGACGTTGACGCTAATGCCATTAGCGATAACTTCCTGGATGGAAGGAACACATTCCGCAGTAGCAGGGATCTTTATGTAGACATTGGGGCGGTTGACCACTTTGTGCAACCACTTTGCTGCTTCAACAGTTCCTTGGGTGTCATTTGCCAACCTAGGAGACACCTCCACGGAGACATACCCATCAGCCCCATTGGTCTCGTTGTAGATAGGCTCAAAAAGTTTGCACGCGTCTTGAATATCCTTTATAACGAGTTCCCAGTAAGCGCTCTCCGCGTCCTTTCCACCCGAAATGAGCTGCTTGAACTGATCATCATATGCGCTGGACGATGAAATAGCCTTTTGGAAAATCTGCATCGTGTTGAGAACATGGTCAGGAGTGAATGCACAACTATGCAAGCGATCAATCGACCATACAATGCAAAGCAAAAGCTGGAAATGGAGGATTACCGTAGGGTTGCTGGTGACTCCACGAACACCGCTGGCGATAAGGGGCAGCAAGTCGGTGACAGGGCGGCAGAGGTTGTCGTACCACGGGGACAGGCCCTGGAGCTCGTAGAGATCATGAAGCGCGGTCTTCTTGGTCGGAGCACCATTTCCTTCCTTGGCAGAAGCCATCGCACTGGAAATTGCAATTCAACGAGTAAGGTCATGTCCACAGGTTAGTTGGACTGCAAAAGAGTGGTGTGCACAAAGGCATTCATATTATCCCTCTTGAAACAAGGGTGGTGTATGCAGCTAGAATTCTTTCGACGGGTGGTGTATGCAGCTAGAATTCTTTCGACGGGTGGTGTATGCAGCTAGAATTCTTTCGACCATAATGGAAACCGTCGGTGCTTTTGGCAGCGTGTGTGCTGCTGCTGCTATCAAGAGGTCTACTACAGCAGCAGCGAGTCAGCGACACGGGAGGAGGAAGCTCCGGGCACGGCAGTCACGGCAACCCCCACCTCCACACGGATCTCGCACCCGCACGGCGAGTGGTCCGAGTGGAGATGCTGGTATGCCAGAAGGCTCCAACCCGTCCATTTCCCAATCGAACGGCCGCAGAAACGTACAGGGGGAGGCTCCATCCAGGACCAGATCGCGGGGTCCGTCCCTAGCCACGTCAGGCCAGGCGGCGTGGTGGGCTACGCTCCAAATCGACGCGGCAGAACACCAGCCCGCGATTCTAGCCTAAGATGCCATCGATCTCCTACCCGAAGAATCGAAAGCACGCAAGGAACGGACAGCTCGAATCTAATTTATCAAACCTCGCGCGAATTAACCACCCACTGACTCGAGCATGGGCACGGATGCGAAGGCCAGTCTAGCCAACCAGAGCGAATCCAATTCCACAGATGAGATAGAGCGCGCGGGCGCGGAAGAGGAGAGGGGGAAGGAAGTGGGGGAGGGTGGAGTCAGAGTCACGCACATGATGGGGCTCCTGGCTCGCCCGGCGACGGAGACGCTGACCCGGCGCGGGGAGGGGGCGAAGGCGAGGGCGGCGGTGCGGAGGGACGCCGGCCGGAGCGGCGCCGCCGCCGGCCGGGGCGCGGCTAGCTTGGACACCGTGCCGGTCATCGCCGCTCGTCGGGGTTGTTGGTGGGAAGTGCGAGGAAGAGCAGATGGGATGGGTGGGTTGGTCGCTCAGGGTGGTTGTTGCGAGGTTTATAAGTAGCAGACGCCTCCGTGTGTTTCCGCCCGCCGCTTTTACACGGACAACCCTGCTCGATGTTTATTTTCGTCCAAACACAAAGACGCAGCTGACTTCTATTCTCTCTCGCGAATTACACGATGCAGATGCTTATGTATATTTACTCTCTATATAAAGCCTCCTTTGACATGGCTTATCTAAAATGGCTTCACCGGTAAAGCCAAAGTCGGTGAAGCCAGAAAAATTGATTTTTCTCGGCTTCTAATTCATTTTAACCCCAGCTCACAAAACGGCTTCACGCTACAGTGCCTCGATTTGCGCAAAATAAATGAAGCCGAAGCCAGCATAAGCCGTACCAAAGAGACCCTAAACATAGATACACGCACGTACAAACGGGGGCCGAGCTAGAGCAAATTTGAGAGGATGTGCTTGCATGAGTGTAAGGTCTTTTGACATGAAGATGCAATATATCACTACCGGATTCAGGAACTTTGCCGAGTGACAGGGGCACTCGGCGAAGCCCCAAAAACACTCGACAAACCGTTTGCCCAGTGTAACACTCGACAACTAGTTTATCGGCAAACGCTGTTTTGCCAAGTGCTTTTTGTCGAGCACTTGGCGAAGACTTTGCCGAGTGCCCCAAAAACACTCGGCAAATATTTTTTGAAAAAAATAAAAAAAAAAGCATCAGCCACCGGAGAAAGAAAGGGCGTCACCGGATCCGGCCACCCCGCTCGCACCGGCGCTGGCCCGCCACCGCCGCCACCAGATCCAGCCTCCCCGCGCCGCGCCACCACCGAAGGGAGAGAAAAGAGAGGGTGACGTCGGAGGAAGAAAGGGCGTCGCCGGATCCGGCCACCCCGCTCGCATCGGTGCTGGCCCGCCACCGCCGCCACCGGATCCAGCCTCCCCGCGCCGCGCCACCACCAGAGGGAGAGAGAAGAGAGGGTGCCGTCGGAGGAAGAAAGGGCACCGCCGGATCTGGCCACCCCGCTTGCACCGGCGCTGGCCCACCACCGCCGCCACCGGATCCAGCCTCCCCGCGCCGCACTACCACCGGAGGGAGAGAGAAGAGAGGGTGCCGCCGGATGAAGAAAGGGCGCTGCCGGATCCGGCCTCCCCGCGTCGCTCCATCACTGGATCCGGCCTCCCCGCGCCGTGCCGCCACCGGATCCGGCCTCCCCGCGCTGCGCCACCACCGGATCCGGCCTCCCCGCGCCGTGCCGCCACCGGATCCGGCCTCCCCGCGCTGCGCCACCACCGGATCCGGTCTCCCCGAGGGCGCCGAAGAGGGAGAGAGAGGAGGAGGGGGGCGCCGGAAAAGGAGGAGGGGAGGGCGCCGGAGGAGGAGGAGGGAGA